CTTCTAAAGTGTTAAAAAGCAAGGATGCAACTCTGAGGACTAATGTGTGCTTTTCAGTTGTCTCATGTGCAAGTTAGACAATGATTAAGGAAGATCCAAAAGAGTTAACACATTTGAATGGCTGTGTTGGGGGAAAAATATTGAATATATAATTTACTTCCTGAACAAATAAATCTGTCTTAGAGGAAAAGTCAGAATGTGTCTTGGAAAGATAGTGAGACTTCATCTCACATGTTTTGAATGTATTATTAAGACTGATCAGCCCCTGTAGACAAATTGAACAGTTTTGGTAAAGAAGAGTCACTGAAAAAGAAGAAGACCCTCAATGTTACACAATGGCTACAATGGGCTCAAACACAGCAACAAGTATGAGGAAGGTGTAGGACTGGGCAATGTTTTGTTCTGTGGTATATAAGGTGCTATGACTCAGAAGTGACTTGATGACACCTAACAAGAACAACAGCCAACTTTTTTTAATAACTTCTGGTCTTAGTGGTAAAAACAGACCCAGTGAGGGAGATTTGGTGCTCTCTGCAATCCTTCTCTTGTGTGAAAATGTGTACTTTTGGGAACAGTACTATTTCTGATATTTCCTCTGGGGCCATACACTTTCCAAGCTCTTGTTAGAGATAATTAGGAAAGGGAATTTTTGAAGTTCTTACTCCATAGGGTGAGTCATAAAAATTAGTATCCAGTCATACATTTACTCTGAAAACCATAAGAAGTTCTTCCTTTTCAAACATGAACCTCTTGATTTTAAAGTGTTCCCTGTGCTGAGTGCATGTCAGTGATACTCCTACTTTCCCTCATGTTGCTCCTTATCTGGCTCCACATCTGGAGCTGGAATGTAGAGTGTGTGGACACTAGAGGTCCTCAAACTGCATAACTATTGTGTGTGCAACACCATTCACTTTTCATCCATCTGGATTAGGCTTTTTTCTGTCATTTCCCTTTTTCATCTTCTTTCTTTTCTCATAGACTGCATAAATGTCATCTTTCTTCTTTCCTTGTGTTCACTTTGGCCATTCTACTCAGACTTCTTGGTGAAGTCCTGACAAGAAAAGGGATTATGGATGTGACATTTCTGAGACTGCAGTTTCTCTTGGTGAGTTAAAGATCCTGTGTAGCGTATGATGTAGGTCCGTACACTAATCAATCAACTGTTTATTTCAGAACCTATCATGGCAGAATCATAAATTATTAATTTGATCACACATGTAAGTCTAAAAGTCTGTATGGTTAATATAGGCTTACATATCCTTTAAAGATTGTGGTTTTAATATCATTCATTCTGTGAGGAAGCTGGAAAGGCATTTCTAGTTCACTGAAGAAGCTCCAATTGCAAAAGAAAAATAATCAAATTAGAAATTAGTGGAATTCACAGTGTTTTAAGAACAAAATCTGAAAAATTTAAGAATAAAACTACTTAATTTTCCATCACACAAAAGAAGGAATACTTGATAATAAGATTTTAGTTAATTGTGAATGTTGAATATTAACAGTGAATCTTTACACTTCAACATAGAGAAAACTTTAACACAGTGTCCTGAATTTCCATGCCTTTGTATCTACTCCCTGTCCTATTTGTCACAAGATAAGGGTCTTAAGCTACAAAGTGTATATACGTTTCTTAACTCTGCAATCTCATTCCTTCAGTTATTCTAAGAAGTAAATCCCATTCTGGTTCTTTGTCAATGTTATAATAATGACTTTTTTGGCTCAAATTTTTAATCTTACAAAATTAAGTTATCTTTTTAAGGATTGAAAAGTCACAGATGATGTATAGATTTGTCTTGTTTTCCATGTCAGTGGAAATTTATATAAATGTCATGTTGATAAATTATGTCAATACAATTAAACTGTTAATGGGTATGTTTCTTGTGACCAAATGCCTTGTAACTGTTCTTAGAAACCTTTCTATTAGGTTCAAATATGGGTAGGTACACTCAGTTGGAAGCATGAGTGGCAACCACTTCCTAAACAACATGCCTGTGGAAACCCTATGAACTTTGATAAATGTCAATAGTTGTAGAGGGACTTCAGGCCTTTTGTTCACAGGGTCGCTATGAGTTGTGCTTGACTTAAAGGCAATCAACAACAACACAACATTAGTTCATTTAAGAAGTAAGAAAATCAAGTAATTTGAGTTTACACTGTACTTTTTTTAGATGGTTGATAAGCATTCATATGTATGCATGTGCCATATATGCATCCAGAAACCATACATAGTTACCTAAATCAAAGAGAAAATGAGACAGTCATGGGAATGGTCACGTTACTGTTAATTGCAATTGCATTAAAGAATGATTAAACGTCCTCTTACATACTTTGAGTACATTTTCAGGAAGGGCTATCCTTAGAAAAAGATATTATGCAGGTGAAGGTGGAGTGCCAGAGAGAGAGGAAGACCCCAATAAGAGAAATTGGCACAGTGACTGTAACAATGGGATCCAATATGTCAGAGATGATCAAGATGGCACAGGATAGGGCAAGGTTTAGATCTGTTTGTTTATAAGGTCATTTTGAGTCATAGTTGCCCTGACGGCATCTAACAACACTAACCCCTAAACAGGGCCAGGTGATGTCAAGTGCAGGCTCATTCTTATAGTCTCTGTGCCTACTATATCCAGTATTAACACATTTTAGTAAGCCAATTTCAACTATATTTTCTCCTTTTCTAAATAAAAATGTAATATTATCTATATCTTTGCTTTCAATACCAGTACAACTACTCACCTTATTTGTTGTTGTTGTTGTCATTATATACCATTGAATAGGATTCGACTGATAGTTGACCCTCTAGCAGATTTTCAGACAGGAGGAGATTGCTCATCTTTCTCTTGCAGAGCAACTGATGGATTTGAACCGCGTGTCTTTGTGTTGGCAGCACAACTCTTTCCCACTAAGCCAGGAGAACCTTAATTTATAACTAAGAATATTCTTTGTATTAAATTTTGCACAACAAATCAAAAGACAAAACTTGTCATCTCAATTTTAAAACAGCTAATTTGGGATTTTTGTTTAGCTTGGTTTATTTTATCATATACAGATTTAGTCTACTATGCTGTTTTACAGTGCTATCTAACTCTTTAATTAGAGTCATAATTGATTAATCAATCCCTGGAACAAAATTGCTGGAGTTCCCTTTGCAGTTCCACATAGCAACTGTGTATAATCTGGGACAGGTTATTTCATCACTCTCAAGATCTCAGTGGCTTAATCTGTGAAGTATCACAACAAGACTGCAGACCTCCTGGCTCTCCCTTGAGAATTATATGAGGTAAATTATGCCACGCTGTTAATATTAGTGCCTAGATTGCAACATGTCCAAAAATATTTGTAATTTTTACTGGTTTTTTTTTAATTATTTTAGGTATTCTAAATATATTGAAAAATTTTTTAAGCATACAGAAATCTAAGACAGCTGATAGGGAAACATACTGTACAATACAGAATGGATAACTATTCTTGTTTACTTGTTTGGTTTTTGTTTTTAGAATGGATGACTATTCTTTTACAGTCATATTTTTGCCACCTATTTTTATAACATTAAACAATTTGGATATAGAAAAGATCTCAATCCTTGATCCAGTCTCCCTCTAGAGTGTGATGTCTATCCTTCCACTTCTTTATAACTCATGTTGTTGTCGTTGATTGCCATTGAGTGAAGCACAACTCATAGCAGCCCCATGAACAAAAAGTCTGAAACTCTTCTACAACCATCATAATTTATCAACATTCACAGAGTTTCCAGAAGCATGCTGTTTAGGAAGTGGATGCCACTCTTGCTTCCAATTTTAAGTCATATATATATATACTTTCTTGATCATTAGATGCATAACATTGTTTTTAAAAATGTTGTCCTTCCATAGATTTTTCTGTCATCTTTATTCATCGTCCAATATTTAGATGCAATGGAAGCAATAGAAAATACCCTAACTTGGATCATACACACTTTAGTCTTTCAGTTGGCATAAGTAACTGTTCTTAGCACTTTAGAGAGGTCCTTGACTTCTCAGAAGCATAGATATTAATAAAAATGAGGTCTTTTTCTTCCTAAGATTTTGCTTCACCACTTGTAACCTGTTAAGTTTTGTATAACACTAGATTTCCTAGTATTGATCAGAATGTTATTCAGAATGAGGTTTCACTGAAAAGCAAAGCTTGCTCTCTGATCCAGGTTATGTATAAATAAGAAAATTTGGTATATCTCTCCTCTTGTGGGGAACTCTGGTGATGGAGTCTGTAGGACGATGTGCAGCTCACTTAAAGGCTGAGCCTCTTTGGCAGTTTGAATCCTCCAGCAGCTCCAAGAGGAAAAAATGGATAATCTCCTCTTTTGTAATTTACAGCCTCAACAAGCCCAGTGGAAGGTCAGCTATGAGTCAATTCTAACTCGTTTGTAATGTGTGAGTTTTATTTCACTTGTAAAATTATCAGCTTATGGAAGTTGTTGCTGTTGTTGTTGTTGTTATGTGCCATCGAGTAGCTTGCGACTCATAGCAACCCTATGTACAAGAGCCCTAAATGCTGTTCTATCCTGTGCCAACCTCCCCATCTCAAATACACTCATTCCCACCACTCCACTCACAGAATCGATCCATCTCATCAAATGTCTTCCTCTCCCTCGTCACCCCTCCACTCTCCCAAACATGATGTCCCCTCCAATGATCAGTCCTTCCTTGCAACATGCCCAAAGTATGTCAGATGAAGCTTCAGAATCCTTGGCTCCAAGGAGCACTCTGGCTTTTAAAATATCCTGTCTGCTTGAAAGTAACTACACAAAATGTTGATAAATAATCACAGGTAAGAGCTGCCAAAATCCCCAAATATTGTTGTTTTTAGGCCAAATAATTATTTAATAAGGACCTATTAAATTCTGGTTCAAACATCTACTATTTACACAGAAGGATCCATTCTTTTATTTTACCAGCCCTTCGGTTTGAGGAGTACTGTATCTATGCTCTTTACCAATATATGTCTTTCTCCAAACAGGTAATATGTGGCCACAGGTAATGGAACAAGACAACACAACCTCTCTCGAAGGCTTCATTCTCGTGGGCTTCTCTGACCGCCCTCATCTAGAGCTCGTCCTCTTTGTGGTTGTCCTCACTTTCTATCTGCTGACTCTTCTTGGTAACATGACCATCATCTTGGTTTCCATCTTGGATTCCCGCCTACACACACCAATGTATTTCTTTTTGGCTAATCTCTCATTCCTGGACATGTGCTTTACCACAGGCTCCATTCCACAGATGCTCTACAACCTTTGGGGTCCAGATAAGACCATCAGCTATCTGGGTTGCGCCATCCAGCTCTACTTTGTTCTAGCCCTGGGAGGGGTAGAGTGTGTTCTGTTGGCTGTCATGGCCTATGATCGCTATGCTGCAGTCTGCAAACCCCTGCACTATACTGTCATCATGCACCCACGTCTCTGTGGACAGCTAGCTTCAGTAGCATGGTTAAGTGGCTTTGGCAATTCTCTCATCATGGCTCCCCAGACACTGATGCTGCCCCGCTGCGGGCACAGGAGGGTGGAACACTTTCTCTGTGAGATGCCAGCACTAATTGGCATGGCCTGTGTAGATACCATGACCCTTGAAGCACTGGCTTTTGCCTTGGCAATCTTTATCATCCTGGCACCACTCATTCTCATCCTCATCTCTTATGGTTACATCGCACGAGCCGTGCTCAGGATCAAGTCAGCAGCTGGACGGAAGAAAGCCTTCAACACCTGTAGCTCCCACCTAATTGTGGTCTCTCTCTTTTATGGTACGATCATATATATGTACCTCCAGCCAGCGAACACTTATTCTCAGGATCAGGGCAAGTTTCTTACTCTCTTCTATACAATTGTGACTCCCAGTGTTAACCCATTGATCTACACATTGAGAAACAAAGATGTTAAAGAGGCCATGAAGAAGGTATTAGGGAAAGCAAGTGCAGAAGTATAGTGAGACTTGATCATATTTTGGAGTTATCACTTGGCCCAACTTCTGTGTATTCTGTTAGATCTTTCAAATAAAGAAATGTTCTGTCATTGTTGCTTATGGAAGCACTTGGCAAGATGAACAATTCAGTAGCTTAGAGTCTAAGAAAATGGAGTATACTTGATTTGATACTCCTCTTAAGTACTTCTAAGTCACAAAGTCATCACTGGAAGGGTTTTAATCTGGGGAAAGGTATATAAGTGTCAACAGACATCTATGACACAGTGGTAGTTAACTAAAATGTTGATGGTTTGAACCGACGGAGAAAGATGTGACAATTTGACCTCATAAATATTTGCCGCCTTGAATACTTGAAAAGGCAGTTTTGCTGATCACTATGGGGTTCAATCAACTGCTTGGTAATGAACTTGAACTGGTTTGGGTTCCTTTGTAAAAGGAGCCCTGGGTAACACAAATGGCTGACATGCTTGATTGGTAACCAAAAGGTGGGAAGTTGAAGTCTACCTTGAAAGGAAGACATGGAGATCTACTTCTGAGAAATCAGCTTCTTGAAAATCCTGCAGAACACAATTCTACTTTGGCATACAGAGGACTACCATGAATTGGAACAACTCAATGAAAACTGATTTCCACACTTGTAAAAAAGAAAAAAAGCCCTGACTGTAGATAGTAGATATTTTTGTACTCAGACCAACTTCTATCACAACAGGTCCTTACCAAATATGAAAGAATGCATTTAGAAGTAGTAGTACTTGTTGTCGTTGTTATTGTTGTTGTTGTCAGGTGCCGTTGAATCAAGTATGATTCATTGTGACCCTGTGAACAATATACCTAAACCTTGTCCTATCCTGTGCCATCCTCACAATCTGATATACTTGAGCCCAATGCTACAGTCACTGTGTCAATCCATCTTGTTGGAGTCTTCCTTTCTTTTGCTGTCTCTCCATTTTCTAAGCATGGCATCTCTTTCCAAAGAATAAGGTCTTTAAGTAACATGTCCAAAGTATGAGAGACAAAGCTTTGCCATCTGTTCCTCCAAGGAGCATTCTGGCTACAGTTTTTCCAAGGAATATTTGTTTATTCTTTTGGCAGTTCATGGAATATTCAGCACTCTTCTAAAAGTAGTACATAATAAATGTTTATTTTTCCCCTGAAAGTTCAAATATGTTTTATAGTGCCAAAACGTGTGAATAGGAGCCAAAACAAATTGATCAGTTATCTAGCTCTTAATATAACACTACAGCAGACATGTGGATGCTGCATATTTTGAATACTTCGTGGTATAATTGAATTTAATGTAATTTGTGTTTTCATTTCTGAGATAATAAAAAGCATAAAAATAATATAAAGCAAGCCAATGAGATACTTGCTTTAGATAGAAGGGATAATTTTTTGTCAGTCCTCAATATTTGTTATTACTTGTTATTTATTTAAGATAGCTAAGGGGTCTTATTTAAAAACCATTAAAATGTTTTCATTTCTACCCCTCTCATATACTGTCAGAGTAACTTTAAACACAGGCAGAAAAAAATGAGATAAACTTTAGTAAATTGTTCTCTATCATTCATAGGGTTTTCAAAGGCCTATTATTTCAGAAGTGGAAGGCCAATCTCGCTCTCTACTCTCTCTTAATCTGGGAGCTCTGCTGAAACCTGTGTACCATGGGTGACCCTGCTGGCACTTAAACATCATAGCTTCCACCATTACAACAACTGACAAGATAGCTCAGTATAGCAAACTGATGAAAAGTGCTATACTGAAAAGAACAATGATAAATTAAAGCTATAAAATAAGTTGTTGTAGTTGTTAGGTGCCATCAAGTCAAGTACTACTCATGGCGAGCCTATGAATAATGGATCTGAACCTTGTCCTATCCTGTAGCATCTTCACCATTTCTGATATAGTTGAGCCCTTTGATGCAGTCACTGTGTCAATTCATCTGGTTGAGGATCTTCCTCTCTTTTACCTGCAAGTTGCCTTTCCAAGCATGATGTCCTTTTTTAAAGAATAGCTTTTCCTAACAATATGCTCAAAGTATGTGAGATGAAGCTTTATCATTCTTTTTCTCCAAGGAGCATTCTGACCACACTTTCTCCAAGACCTAAATGTTTCTCCTTTTGACAGTCCATAGATATTCAGTGCTTTTCTCCAAAAGGGCACCATTTATCTTTCAATCATCCATGCAAATCACTTTTCTAATACAAAAAATCTGACAAATAGATGTACTTCTAACAGCAAACCACAGATACACTCAGACATACAAACATCATGGTGCGAGACATGACCCTGGCTATGGCCTAGCAACTAGTATGCCCTGAGATGGGGCCCCCATCTAGTCCCTTATTTTAAAGAGCAGGTGGAGAAGACAAAGAAAAGTGTTATAATGGAGTGTAAAAAGAGTTGGAGTTGGAGAATAAAAAGGGAAGAACCCACTCAGTTGGTATTTTTCAAGCTGAAAGAATTGAAAAATAAATTCAAGCATTGAGTTACAAAACTGAGAGATGATGTGAGAGAAACCTTGAATGGTCAAGGATGAATCAAAAGAAGATGGAGGGAATGCAGTCATTATACCAGAAAGAGTAGGTTAACAAACATTTCAGGAAGTTGCATATGGAAAAGGATGAATGAAGGAAGAAATTCAAGCTGTACAGCAGGCACCTACAAAAAAAATAAGTTCCCAGGAATCAATGGGATACCAACTGATATGTTCCAATTAACGTTTGCAGCCCTGAATGTGCTCACTCTCTTGTGCCAGGAAATTTGGAAGCTTGCCAATTGACTGGAAGTGATTCATATTTGTTTTTTAAAAAGTGATCCAATAGAATGGAGAAATTATAGAACGCTATCATTAATAGCACAGGCAAGCAAAATATTGCTGAAGATCATCCCAAAATAGCTAGAACAGTACATTGACAGGAACTGCTGGACGTTCAAGCTTGGTTTATAAGAGGCTGTGACATCAAAGATATTATGATTGCTGATATTGAATGAATCTTAACTGAAAGCACAAAACATCAGAAGAATGTCTACTGGTGTTTTATTGAGTATGTAAAGGCATGTAACTGTGTGGATCATAACAAACTATGACTAACGTTGTTGTTGTTGTTGTTGTTGTTGTTGTTGTTGTTATGTACCATCTAGTCGCTTGTAGGAATCCCAGAACACTTAATTGTGTTCATACAAAACCTAGACCTAGACTCCAAGCCTAACTAGGCCTCACTCTGAGCCTAACTAGGCACTACTCTGAGCCTAACTAGGCCTGACTCTTAATCTAACAAAACTGCTCTGAGCCTAACTAAGCCTCTTAGCCTAACTAAATCTCACTGTATACCTAAGCCCACTCCTAACCTAACCGAGCCTGACTCCAAGCCTAACTAGAACTCAATCTGAGCCTAAATAGACCCTACTCTGAGCCTAACTAAATAGCAGTAAGACTTCTAGGATGAAGATTTCCTCCAATGACATGAACCACCCATGGTCACCTCATGAAGGAGGAAGAGAAAGAGAGGGAGGGAGGGAGGGGAGAGAGAGAGAGAAAGAAAGAAGAAACGTCCTATTACATACTTTGGTCATGTTGCAGTTATTAGGTGCCATGGAGTCAAGTATAACTTGCAGAGACACCATAAACAACTGATCTGAGCACTGGCCTATCCTTGCTATCCTCACAATTTCTGACATACTTAAGCCCACTGCCTTAGTCACTGTATCAATTTCACACTTCATCTTCCCCAGCATGATGTCCCTTTCCAAGGAATAACCTCTCCTAGCAACATGCCCAGAGTATATGAGATGAAGCTTCAGAATCTTTCCCTCCAAAAAAGACTCTATCTGCATGTTCTCCAAACATATCTGTACTTTTGGAAGTCCATGGGATCTTCAGCACTCTTCTCCAACACCACAGTACAAAGACCCAAATTCTTCTTCTGTAATCCTTAGTCATTGTCATGCAAGTGCCTGAAAAAAAAAACATGGCCTGAATTAGACACAGCTTTATCCTCAAATTGAAACCATTACTCTTCATTAATTTGGAGAGGTTCCTAATGTTGACTTACCCACTACAATACATTTCCTGATCTCCTGTTAGGAGAGGCTGGCTGTTCTTGGAAAGGGACATCATGCTTAGAAAGGTCGATGGTCAGAGAAGGACAAAAAAGAACCTCAAAGAGACAGATGGACAAGTGACTGCAGTTCAAGTATATCGGAAATGAAGAGGATTGATCAGGATACGATAAAGACCTTTTGTTTATCTTTTGTTTATCGGGCCTCTGTGTGTCATATTTGACTGGAAAGCACATAACAACACAGTATCTTTTGGCTATTGATTGCTTCACACTTAGATTAACACCTACAGTACCTTACCAGTTGTAATGGGAATTGTACTGGATGATTCACGTTAAATGAATGAAAATCCATCTAAAAGCAGGTGTGCTTCCTCAGATATGGCGTGTTACCAGTTGAATAAATCTTGATTATCTAGTTATACTGGAATTTCTGTGAGTGACTAAGGATTCTAGAATTTGGAATACTACCAGGGGCATCATTAGAAACTGAATATGGGACAGGATAGATTTGATAATTTCTCAGTTGGTGTCCTAGTGATACAATGGTAAAGTGTTTGGCTGCTAACCAAAGTGGAAGTTTAGAGGGGAAAAATGAACCTGTCTGCTTCTTTAAAGATCTGCAGCCTTGAAAGCTCATTGAAGCAGTACTCCTCTGGCCTGTAGGGTACCTATGAGTCTAAATAAACCCTAGTAAAAGCAATGAATTTGGGGTTTTGTTCTTCAAAGCAATTACTCATGTAAGCCCCCATGAAAAGTTTAACAAAATACGTGTAAATCAAGAGGCTTTAGGAAGGAATACCAAATACTCATTAAATTATCAAACAAAAAATAAATTTTCCCTTCAACTAGTTAGGGTTGTTAAGAGTTGACCTTTTGGTTTTATTTTAATTATAGAGCATATTCTCTTACTCTCTTAAGAATATGGAAGAAATAAAATATACT